AATATGAGCGGGACACCCTTTCAGTGCACTATGAAAAAAAAAAATCATTATCCCTACTTATCTAGCAAGGGCTATGGAGTGTTCAGATCTGAGCTGTAAGCATGTATATATAGTTTCATGTCATAGTTTTGCTATTTAGATAATGTTTTCCATATGTTTTAAAAGCTTTATGCTATCTTCTGTCCCCCTCTGGTTCTCCTGTGATATATGAGTAGCAAGACTAGATGTTGTTCAGCTGCATGTCTCAAAGCATTGTGCTGATATTTTAAAGACCATCTCCATTCTACAGATACTTTCTCCACACTAGAAGTAGAGTCAGTCCAAGCAGTAAAATTGGAACTTAAGAAATCCTTACAGAGCTCTGGAAACATCAGACTAGACTGTCTGTCTCTTGACAAAGTGTTTATGGAGAAGAAAACTGCCTTCAAGTACATCTTCTGTGCACCATAGGTGATGTTGAATGTTAGATCCTCAAAAATGCCCAAATACCCCTTTTTTCCCTACGTTGCAAATGGGCACTGGGACTCTTACGGGCACTGGGCTCTGGCCCCATTGGCTCCATGCCCCAGTTATGTTCTGTCTGCTGCTTTCAAGGTTTCCAGTGTATAGTGAAATATTGCAGTGTGTAAGGCCTGCTCTGATTTTGGACAAAGAAGCCAGCAGGTGAGGTAAATACAGGTAGTTAAACATAAGAGCTAAAAAATGTGGGTTATCTGTATTTCACTCAATTGGAATAATTACCAATTAAAACCAGAAAGACTTCCTCCTAGCCACCAGCCTTTTGCTGGATGTGTTTCATTGCCAGCTGTATCCAGTCAGTGAGTTCACAGGAAAAGCTTATTCTCATGGTGGGCTGTAGTAGGGGGCAAGGAAGAGAAATGGCCATAGCTAGTGGGTTGGCACTCAGCTACTAACCTTGATTGTCTCTTGGCCTGCCTTGCCCTAACCTTGAAGGGAAAGAAACAGCCTGAATGGGTTCTTGTCCTCATCACTGCCTCTTTTAATGAAAACTTGTCACTCTGGAAGGTGAGTTCTGTGCTCTGCAGGGAACATCAGTGTGGAAATGTAGCTTATGAGCAAAGTCTAGAAGAACCTAGTTTGTCTTGTTTAGAGAAAAAAATGGAGGGACAAAGAGGTAAATAAGAAACATGTTGTGCTGAAGAGGAGGGGGATTTTTGTGCTGTGCTTTCTAGTCTAGCTAGGACAGGAGGTTATTGTCTTAAATGTCAATGAAGGAGATTTGTGCTAGTCATGAAGAAAAGCTTCCTTACAGTATGCACTGCTTCTCGACACAGGTCACATTGCTCTCTTAGCAGCACACTGACTGGCTCCCCAGCTGCAAACCATCTGTGCTGCCCACTGACAAACCCAGAAGTGATAAAATCTAAAATATTTTAGCTAACTCTATGCATGGATGTCCTGCTCCCCTACGTGCTATGTGCCCTTCAGTCACCTGCTGCCAAGACAGACACGCAGAGATTCTCTCTGAACTACTTTAATTAATATGTGCCTGCTCTGTATTTTTATAGCTCTTAAAAAGGAGCTGTAAGTGGTATCTTGTATCAGAGGGAAGTGTTATATCACTGCTGTGAAGCTTGGCCGTGGCTGCTGCTGAGGAGGTGACCTTGGCACGTGTTCCCTTCCCTTTGCTCCTCACACAACGTGTTAACACCACACTTGGCACTTCCAGTCAAATGCTTTAAAAAAGAACACAAAAGCCAAATTAGGATTTTTTTTTTTAAATGCCACTTAGTAGCTTTCAAAAAATCCCTGCTTCCTTGAGAAAAAATAAAAAAATGGACCTCCAGTCCTAAGCAAACTTTCTCTTCCCAAGTATGTGCTCATTTTTTTTAATCTCAGAACTTCACTTAGGGGAAACAATGGAGTCAGTAACCTCACTGACTCCAGAGAAAATAAGGATTTATTTTTCTCTAAAATTACTGAGAGTTTGCTGGGGAGATTTCACCACCACCCCGTGAAATTAAATGGATCTGCTGTACAAAGAAACAAATTATGCTAGAATCAACATGCAAGTAAAGCCAGCATGATTTTCTCACTTGCATCCTGAACAAAGATGAAGGGGAAAGCCTGAAAAATACAATCAACTTGAAGGGAGTTCCAAAAGCTATGGGGTGCTGTGTGTTAGGCACACTACAAGAAAATTATGTATGATCCATGAGGGCAAGGGTGGACATGTAGGAATTGCTGTGATGGACTAAAGCCAAAGTCTAGTTAGTTCAAGACAGTTTCACTGAGCTACACTAGTTAGTAGTGTGAGCTACTCACTACTGTAAAACTCCCTGGATAATTCATTTTTCACACTTCATGTTTTCAGGGTGAAAACTGACTGATAGTTCCTGTCAAATCCTGAGGACAGCTAGGCAGATTTTTTTAAACAAGCCTCCTATCACCAAGACATGGGGCAGTGCCTGCTTTGCTGGGGCTGAGCTGTATGGCCAGCAGAATTTAAATTCACCTTTCCCTCTCTAAGTACCCAGCAGTGAGTAGACTCTCAATGAGTTGCCTGTCTGAAAAATGTTAGCTAAAGTGACTGCACTGTTTCTGCCAACATGAATTGAATTCCCAAACTGCATTTAGGGTTTGATGAGGGAGGAGAAAGTCCCTGATGATACAACCCTGCTTTAGTTTGCTTCAGAAAGTCTCCTGCACAGAGGAACTGTCAGTTAGTTAATAGAACGTTTTACAAGGAAGAACTTCCAAGTCTTCACACAGAGTGAACTTCAAAGTATTCTATGCAGAGAGCAATGGTAAACGTAGAGTCTGTGGATGAAATTATGGTGTTCAGGCAGCTTTGGTGGTAACAAGATATTTTGCTGTTTTTAACCCCATAAGTTCAGCACTCTAGGTGTGCTGATTTGATAAGGAAGAAAGGGGCTTCTCCACTCTTCTTCATGTATTTGTCAGTGAATTGTGGTGATAGTGACATAAAAGGATGTTGGGAAACATTGTCAGAAACCTGTAAACAGACTTCCCAATTTCCAAGTGTGGCAGAGAAGTAGAAACTCATTCTATGCGTGTTAACATTGCTGCTCTGCTGATTGAACATGAAGAAGACAAAAAAGGCATTAGAGCTGCTTTTGTGGTCCTCATTGCCCCTGCTGAAGCTGCCTGCCTATCAACAGCTGCACTGTGTGAACAAGACACTTGCAAGGCAGCTGGATGATGAGCCAGCTGGGGAGAAGGACATTAGTGGCAAGGAGTCAGAGGAACAGGTATCATTTGTGCAGCTTGAGGAACATCATGGCTGTCTTCAGCAGTGAAGTACTTAAATGTCAGTGGTCTTCACTGACTATAGCCTGTTAATGCCTACTGATATGCATCGAGGGACCTTTTTTCTAAGCTAGTACAGACCATCTGGAGAGGGCCCTCTGCATGCATCTGTCTCTGTCATGATAGCCAGAAATTCAGACCTCGTTCGCATAGTGTTAATTATTATATTGATTGGAGGTGGACTTCTGGATGGTCTTGGTCTTTTTGTTTATCTGACTGAATGTGATGCTGTCAAGTGGGGGTGCAAAGGCCTGTTAGGTGTTTATAGCTCATTTCTATGGCAATGTCGTGCTATAAACACCTTGAATCCAGCAGCTGGCTCCATCCTGAGGAAGCTGCACTGGTTTAATGCTATCAGTGTACTAAAGCAGTATTGCTTTTGTATCGACAAGTACAGAAGTTCAGCTCCTCTCTCTTTTAACAGTGAATAGTAGTAGTAAGTAAATTACATTTTTCTGACAAAAGAGAATAAAAGGCATTACATCTGTGTGTCTCCACCTCAGGCTCCGGGCTATGTGCATTTATGCACTGCTGGCAGCCTGGATTCCTGCTGAGACACGGCAGCCCAGTGCAAAGGCGCATGCTAGGGAACTGGGCACTGGAGTGTCACTGATCTGAGGTGGAAGGTTTCACATCACCAGGGGCCAGCAGGAGCAGAGGAGTAAGAGGCAGTACCAGGGAATGGACCTCTTGACTTCAATCATTGCAGACCTCACAATTTCAGCTGTTGCTCCTGTTCCCTGTTAATTTCATATCAAGGATACCCAAAACACACACAATGAATGCAGGAAATGTATCACTGCTCCTTCAGGCAGCTCCCAAGGAGAAGTCTGTTCTTGTTATTTCTAAATCCTCAAGTCCTTGGAAAGGGGGCTGCGTCAGTAGCTGCTCATACTTCAGCAGGTGGGGTGGTGGTAGGGTATTGCACCTCAAGTGCAGTACAGCTGGAAACAGTGTAACAGGACTGGAAGAAATTATTCCCAAATGCAGCAGAATATTTGAGGGTTGGGGAAGAGAAATAGAGTGAGATTGGGACATTTTGAGAAGACCAAGCTGCTGAACAGAATTTTCAGAGCCACAGCTGATCAGTCTTCAGAAATGGGAGGAAAGTTCTTTCCTTGAGGTGTGCCTCTTGTGTTCCAGTTCTCCATTTCTGACCTCTCTTGCATCCATAAACTGTATTCTGAATCTTGCTCAGAGGTGTGAAATTTTGACTTCAATAAATCCACATCCAAAGCATGATGCATGGGCTAAGATCAAGAAATTACAAATTCGGTTCAGGTATCAAATTAAAAGTATCACCAAACCCTTCAAATCTCAGTGCGCTGACTATAGCTCATTTATTGACTTCTGCTCAGACTGGGAGCAAAAAAAATGAATATACACAGTCTGCCTCAGTTCAGTCCGTGGACAGTGCAGATCACTAATTTCAATGTTTTATTAGTGAAAGAACTGCATATGAGCCAAAAATGAATGACAGGTTTTGTTATTTATACTGTAGTGACTGGTGGTCTAACTATGGATGGAAATTTGGGTGAGCCCCAGCTCATGATGAATGAACAATGACCTAATAGTCTGATGTCATCACAAATAATTTCTGTTGCAGATGATTTTAGAAAACTTCAGATTTAGATTAATATGGTGCTAGTTGCACCCCAGATAGCAGATGATCTGTCATTATTTTTCTTCTCCCATAGGACCCCATATTCACCCCATATTCACTTTATTCTGTTTTATTTGCAGTAAGAGCAATCCACTTTCTGTTCTGCCTCTTCTTCCTTAGCATACAAATAACATTCATTCACTTTTGTAAGTGGACTCCTTCCTCTTTACAGCAGTCTTGTTCTGAAGCAGACAATGCTGTACTGAGTGTGCCTGGGAGAGGAGCAGCCTCCTAGATTTTCCTTGCAATACATGGGACACCTGACTGAGGAATTCCTAGTTTTCTCCAAAGTCACTCCTCTGGTGAGCAGTTTCTTTTTGCACCTCCCTCTGAGACTCTGTGAGGCTGGACTTCAATTTCCAGATCCAACTGATATTTTTCATTGTGATTCCCATTTGACATTCTTAGCTTTACTGGTTCAGACCTTTAATTTCCCATTTCCTTGCATCACAGAGGGCCTTCAACCTGTGATATCTAAGTTTTCTTTCTAAGGCTAGTTTTCTGCTAGTAAGCAGAAGACACATCTCATCCTTCACTGTTGATCACACTCTCACTTGGATTTTTTTTTTTCTTTTTTTTTTTACGAAGAACATGAAGAAGGATAAGGCAGGGAGAAGGAGGTGGAAAGACATGGAGCATTTGTTTCTCCTTGCTTAAGGAGGTTGCAGAAGTTTCTGAGGGTTGGAAAGGTGTCAAAGCAAACTCATCCTTCAGAGTTTGTTGGGGGCCAAACATCCCTATGAGTCACATCTGTCCTGTTGAGCTCCTCCCTGCACATGATGATAAAGAGAACCTGGTGCCTCCTTCCCTCTGTGTCTGCTGTACTCAGCTGCCCCTGGGGCTGCCAAGGAGAGAACAACTGCCTCCCATCTCTAGAGACACAGGTACAGAGGCTGATGCTGCCCAGCTGAGGCAGGGACATGGCATGTAAGAGCCCATGAAGTGCTGTGATGGTGGAGTCCGAGCTTGCTCTGTGCTGGAGTTCAGACAAATCCTGCCTGCCTGGCTGAGCTGGCTGCTTGGAGCAGAAACAAAGCCAGGCAATGAAGCAGGAAAGACCAGTATGACACTTATGCACGGTAGCATAACTGTTGGCAGGCTGCGACTGCATGTGCTGTACATGGGGCTTTAAAGCTTGGACCTACTGATATGGTTATGTTTGTCTGTATAGATTTTACTACAGTAAAATAACCTTTAAGTATACCTCAGTATGCCATTAAGCGATATGGATATAATTGTTGCACAGAGCCCTTTTCATCCTCTGTCTGTGGGGAAAGGTATGCTGCAGTGGACACATTTGTAAAGGAATTAGTTCTTTGTTTGCTAGATATGGCACATTTCTTAGCTCTTGCTGTGACCTTCAAACAGAAATGGTTAGGCTTGCAGTGGTTCTTGGCTCCTGTGGGAGATATTTTCCTCGTCTTCAGCCAGCACCAGAGAAAGTGGTATCTGCTGCAAGCTTGAGTTAGACTTGAAACAAATCTAAGGGTGTGGAACACATGTGCTCACCTGAATATAGGTGTCATGACATATCTCTGCATCTGAAAATGCTGCAATGATGTGCTGAGGGTTTCTGCAGACATGTGAGTGTTCAAATCAGAGTACCAGTACCATTCACAGTGTCTTAAGCATTTTTCTGCCATTTCCCACTCCTTTTTTTGGCTGCTGTGCTCCACTGTAACAGTTCTTCATTGCCAAACCATGCATTCAGGTACTGAAGATAATTACAAGATAAATTAAGGGGTAATTTTTTAAAGAGGAAAAATTTTTACTTCATAATTCCCATCCCCCCTTCTATGCCAAAGTGGTGGGGGTCATTTTATTCAGCACATCTAAAGCATTTACCTTTAGGGGAGGATAAAAATATTTCTCCTAAAATGTGAATATTTAAATAAGTATTTTCTAAAGTCAGGAAAAGGACACCAGCTTCATTTCTGCATGAGCTTCTAAAGAATTTAGCAGCATGCTTGTGGAAGCTTAGCAATACCTGGATTGCTGTTTATAGAGAGGAATGCTGCAAGGCACAGACTGCGTACCTTATTCTTCAACCAGAAGTGGTGAGATACTGAGAGAGTTGTCTGTGTGCTGCCCTGTGAAGCCTTCCAAGCTGACATAGCTGCTGGCTGGTCTGATGCAGGTCAGCAGGTCTTAATGGCTGCAATTCCACCGAAGCTGTCATTTCAATAAATGCTCCTTCCACCCTTGATGTCTGCTTCACCCACCCCCTGGAAGTAAAGATATTCCAACAGAACACAGATGGAAAGGTAGAAAGTTATAAATATTTACCTGGACTGTGCTTCTGACATTACAGGGATGCCTGTACTCCAACCCCTTTCCTATTTTTTTACACATTCTGGGTTCAAGCTGGAGATGGACCTGGATCCCAGTAGGCAGATTATGGCATCAGGCTCACTGAAATAGCATTGCAGTGCCTCTGGAGTTGACGGATCCATGACTCCTATTTCTGGCCTCCCTTCAGCCTGGAGTTTCTCATGCTTAGTGCCAGGGCTGGAATGTTTTGGAAACTTTTCCATTAATTATCCAAGCTATTTTCAGTGATAGAGCTTCAAAAATAAATATATTGCTGTGATTTTTAGGAAAGCTCAACATTTCTCATTGCACTCTATTCAAACCCATTCTGCTGTGCAGGGTGCAAGCTCCTTTTATGGGATGTGTGAGAAACTGGGTTGGATGTTTTTCACAGGTTATTTCCCAGATTGTTGTGTTTTCACGTGGAATTCCTCTGTAGTGGAAGACAGGAGTTTCATCGTTTTGCCAGACGAGCATTTCAAACTGCTTCTCCTTTGCAGCCAAGAGGACTGTTACAAGCACTAACCTGGTAGCTACCCTGAGCTGTAAAAGCTTTGAATTTCTATGAGGATTAAATTGTAGTTCAAGTCACAGTCAGTGCTGTGATGGGATGCCAGTAAAGGAGAGCAAATTGTCCTCAGATTGTAATAAAAAAATTTTATTGTTAATTAATTCTGAGCACCAGAAAAGTGCTCTGTGCTTTACCAGAGAAATAAATCTATGTCCTAGAAAAGATGCAGCAAGGAAGTGAAGCAAATGACTTGGGGTAAAAAAAGGAGATAAGAAAAGTAGGTAGGAGGGAGAGCAAAAATTTGTATCAGGCTCATAAAATGAATCAGGTTGATTCTATGTGGATCTTCAAGTTAATAAGTTGTATTAATAGTTATTACTACTTGAATATGTATTCTGTTTCTACACTTTTAAAAGGTTATATGAACTTTGAGCATTTTTCTGGTTGATCACTCCTGCCTAATTCTACCATAACTCCACTCCTCACTAAGGCCCACCTTGTCTTGTGGTGCTAGACAAGGTGGGTTACCTGGATTAGAGGGGATTAATGGCACCATCTCCCATCCTGAATCCCAGCCAAACACTCTGAAGGCTTTCCTGGCTGTTACACACTGTCAAAGCAGATTCATCTTGCCACTGTTAGCCTTTTAGCAGACTTTTTTCTCTTCATACTTGAAGAGCACAAGTGCAACAAACTGCCAATTACAGCTTATTGTGAAGTCTTTTCTATGCTTTCATTTTTGTTTAAAAAATGTGCTCATGAAAGTATGTTAAGATTACAGTGATCTTAACAGGACTTAAGACAATGTTTAATTGTACAGTTTAAAGCAACTGAAATCCTGGTTCCCAGTTAACTCTGTGCTATTTGTCTTAACTTGGGTCTTGTTTACATGCTGGCTGGAAACAAGGGCCCAGAAGACATTTCTGTCCTGGTCAGCATATATGGCACCCTAGACACCTTATCTTCTGTTAAATGGAGAACTAATTGGCATCTACCATCTGTACCTATTCTGATTAGGCATCAGGATAAATTGAGGCACTCCTAGGGGAGTAATTTATGTGACTGGCCTTTTTATGGTGCCTGTGGCAGTAGAGGGCTGGAGACTACTTGAACAGTGTCTAGCTCTAGGCAGGGCATGATCAAGACAAGCTTTTGGACTTTTGGTGCACCTTGTGGTTCCCCAGTGGTGTCTGAGGCCAGGGATGTGGAGGGTGATATAGGATAGCAATATGGATTTTCAGAAGCCCACATGCACACTCATGCCCTCTGACCAGTGTAAGAGAGCTTTTTCAGACAAGGAGAGTACTTCAGGCAGTGTAGAAATTTGGTCAGTGTAGATGAGTCATCAAGATAACTTTTTTCTTTTTCTTTTCAACAGCTGTGTGGTGGAGGATGATGGCACACACTGTCATCTTGGCATCACAGTATGGGTGAACATCTCTCAGAGGTTTTATGGGGTAATATCTGGATCTGGATGAAGAGCATGGTGAGATGTCATGGTCACATTGTCAGAGGTGCCTTTCATCCATTACGGGGCAAGAACTTCAGCTCTTTCTCTCCATTGAAACAAATATTTTCCCTTGTCCCTCTTTTTCTTGAATTGAAATCAGGTATGAGCTGTGAGTTGTCTCCCTTCAATTGCTTTCACCCACTCCTACCAATCTCTTCCTGACTTGGAAGCAGACCACTGCCCCTGCTTGGAAAAAGATCAGGAGCTTCACCAGGGAGGGTGAGTGTCCAGCCTAGGGGTGGGCCAGAGGAAGGAGTCACTGGGTGACAGCAAGTTCAGAGAAAACCATCATAAGATGTCTCGCCTCCTTTACACCCTGCTTTGCCCATGCAGGAGGAGCTCTCTGAAGAGTGATCTTTTGTGAAAAATCCCTGAAACGTCCCTGAACTGGGGGTGCTCTTCCCTAGATGCAAGGTGGAGCTCAGCTCCTGGCTGGCTGGCTGGCTGTGGGCAAGCAGAGCTGCCTTTCTCTGAGCAAGTCTTCTCATCCCACCTCATCACCATAACATGCTACTCTTGTTTCTCTCTGGAGCATGACTGCTTCAGCCCTTGAACTCTAATGCTAATTTTCTTCAAATGTTCTTAGGTAAACTCTGGATGAATTTACTCAGACAGTTTCCAGAGCCCAGACAGACCTTATGTTCATATTTCAGATGGCACTTCCTTGCCCGGAGGCCACAAATATAGCAGACCTGATTTCTCAGATCAGAGTAGTGCTGAGAAAAAACCTTTTGGTGTTCTCCAGATGTTTCATAGTTGAAAGCTGAGCCATGTTTTAAGTCAGATGGTATTCTTTTCTCTGATGGGCTGGTGCTAATATCTTCATGCAGCATTGCAGCTTACAGTATAGCTATACCTGAATGGAACAATTTATATTGTCAGAGATCCCTGTAGAATATAAGGCTAGAGGTGTGCTGTGTTTTAAAATAAATGTGGGATTCTGGAGCAAAGTTTGGTGGTCAAAGATTAAATAATTTCAAGTTCTGTCTGCAGAAAATGGAGCCTTCAGTACCAATAGCTCAGACCTGCAAGCTAGTAATCCTACAGTGGGTATCTGGGCCCTGGAGATGAAACATTGCTGCATTACTTTAAAAGCACGTGGAAGCTTGGTGCTGTGTAAGTACATGCTTTTTCTGCTGGAGCGGTGTTGAAGGTCCTGTCTCCTTCAGGTCATCTAGCTCTAGTGCCCCAACCACCTCCTAAACTCTTCTGCTCGAATAGGTCCCAAAGCTTAGGAAACATAAATAAAAGACCTCTGCAAATCTGGTTTGTCTGTGCTGAACTGGATCTGCTGGCATGGTGAGCTCCTCTGCCACCAGCTCAGAGGGTGGGTAACACAGCTTTTCTGGGTCCTTTACTGTGATTATGGGCTAGAGCAGACCTTCCCTACCCAGCACTCTGAATGTGTTTCTGCAGAAACAGATCCTGCTTTCTACTGCTGATTCCTGCAGGGAGAGGTGAGCATAAACAACTGGTCCTAGGAGAAAGACCTCTTGACCTGGCTTCTGCCTGGGGCTCTGCTGAGGCTTGCCTACAGACCACTCTGCTGGTGTCTGAGACTTCCCTACACAGCACCCCTTGAGAGGCAATGGTGCTTGCATGGCACCTTATAGGGTGTGCTAGCAGGGTGAGGGGACAACACCCAAGGAAATAAATGGCTGCAGTGGAAAAGGGAAGCAGCATGCTTGGAAAAGCAGGAGAAGGCAGTCTGTTTAGTTCAAGTCTTGGAACAGAGGATTTTCTCCTGTTTCACACAGTCTCCATTGCTTTTTGTGATTTGCTTTTCTGTTGTGACTCCCACCAAAAGGTGAGAAAAGACTAAGAAGGAATCAAGCATAGTCTGGTATGATCTGCACAGTGGCGAAAGAGAAGACATTCTGCTGGCTCTGCTGTCACATGAATATGAACACATCTTACTTCCTGTGTCCCTCTTCTCTGATTTCTTGGTACAGCTCCTCTGCTTCTCTTCATGTCCCTCTGCAGCCCAGGCAGCTGCTGGATCCAAACCCACACAGGAGAGCAGATGCTCTTTTTTCAGTAAGACTGTGAAAGAGATTGAAAATAGTGGGAGCCCAGCTTCCACAGGATGTGGACTGGGCAGCTTAAACGAATTATGTTTTTGTTGATCCCTTGGAAGACTTTGGTTTTTAAAGGTCTTAAACTTCCCCTTGCTACTGACTATGAGTAGTCAGCCTGGAAAGCTGTGAGGCATTGACAGGTCATTGGGAAAAGTACCTAGGAGGATGTGAGATGCTTTCTAACATTTTCTTCATCAGGCATACAGTGTGCTGCAGCCCTGGGAGCTGGTGGTCCTAGAAACAGCATTCTGCCCTGAGTGCCCACAGAATGAGTCTGACGAATGAATTTTGTATTGTGCTCTACTTCAAAAGGCAATTTAGTGGGGCAGGTTGCAATTACACTTAGAGGCATGTGGTCAGGAGGAAAGTAGGGCAAAATGTTATTTAGAAGCCCTGATGACATTTTCCATACTGTAATGCAAATACTCTGATCTCCTCATTGGGTGCCTTGGAAGCACCCACATTTTCTATCTAGCCCCATTATCAGGTGCCTTGGAACAACCTTTGTTTTCTAAACATTTGTTTTGCTTATAAGTTTTCTCGGTACCTCCTCCTGATCTTGCAAACCTTAAAGCCACAGTTGCTCAGCAGCTGCACTGTGCCTAAGTGTCACTTGGTTTCACAAGCTGCATGCTCTGTTGTTTAAGCTGAGCTTTAGCAGTGCCCTGTGATGTGGAATTGTATCATCTTTGCCTCTCCGCTGCCGCGCTTGTCCTCCCGCAGGGCTTGAAAGGCCTCGAGGCCGTGGCACGGGCCCAGGTACATGGTGTGACTGTTGCTTGTGGCAGCG